TATAAATAGATAGCGACCTCGTGCAATTGGACTGTTCTAGGTCTGTTTAATATTTATGTTATAAGTTTAAAAAAAGTATGTTAATCATCGTTTTTACCTGTATAAGAATGAGTTTTTGTGGATTAATATGTCAACGAAATGGTCACCTTTGTTTCACTTTGAATGTTGATATTATTTTCATTTTAATGGCTTAACATGACTAATACATGCGTTACCAATCTCTTGCTAATATGTTAAATTGAAGGTCACATGAATACAGATTCAATGAGGTTGAATCATTCACTTGCATGTGAATAATTCATCTTCGAGGTTATTTTGAAAAAATTCAAGTAAACTGGCTGCTAAAACCGAATTGCTGTTTCACTTTCATTAATAATAGAACAGAAAAACAAATAATATTTTTTTATCTTGTAGCTAATGCCTCTTTAAGATTTCCGAACAAAAAACAGGATACACTCAGGTGCTCCAGAAGGGTAAGAGGTTTCTGCTCTAACTGGTACAAATTCGGTCGGAAACCGGGACATCGGTGTGATGAAGTCTTAATCGACTTAATTGTCCGCAAGAGAAATACGTTCATACCTTTTTCGTATCTTCTGTCTCCTTTCTTATCGGTAGTGACTGTAGGCATTTAAGATGTGATAACACATGTAAAAATAAACAAGAATTATTGTTCCTACGTTCGATTCAGATACGTATAGAACCTCTCAGACATAATCTTCTTTTTTATAGTTGTCAGATCATGTTCAGTCGTGTTCTGTATGCATGAATGATACTCGGGGTTACGCCCCTTACGGTTGACGAAGTTTTATATAGATTTTCTTATATACTAAAGTTACACGATTGTATAGCATTATCTTTATAGGGAAGTTTAATTCTAAATTTTACTATCAAAGAGATGATTATTCATTCCTGTTGTTAATTATTCGTTTGTAGAAGGCGACGTTCCCTTTGCACCATCTTATGGTGTTTATGTATCTCAATTTGGTCGATTCGCTCTTGTATGTAACAACTTATTTGATTTTAAAGAAAAAAATATCTGTAATACATGTAATACTAAACAAATATTACACCAGAGTTTTTGACATGTTTGATATCACAAGCTAGTAACCAATTTTACTCAATTTTATCATCGGTACAAGGACATCATTCGTAAATATAAATAAATTGCAGACATCTTATACGTTCAGGTATTTTACATCTCATCTGTTATGGTAATATTCTATACAAAGCACAACAATGTCGTCATTCACTAGAAAACCTATCCAAACCTTTAAATAGACTTATTCAGAAGGAATATAGTTACGATACTGTTGTCAAGTCATTAACGATGGCATTTTCTGGAATTGATATTGATTCACTTCTAGGGTCTTTGCATCGGAAATAAAAACATTTATTCTAAAAAGTAGTTGTCGGCATGATACGGGTTATAATTTTCACGTATAATTTATGATGGCATGATACTGAACCCCTAACAGGATTGTGATTGATTTTCATATGATGAAGACATACAATATTTCAATCAGTTTAATTGAGGTCTGGAGCTGGCATGTCAGTAACTGCTAGTAGTCCTTTGTTAATATATGTTATCATCGTCAATTCGCCTAGTTTCTTCTGCTACCTATTTTAACCACGGACTTGAACTTCCTTTGAAATGAGGTTTACTAGCTGTGCGTATTCCTGTGTGTTTGTTTATTTTATATTGGCTAGAGGTATAGGGAAGGGTTGAGATCTCATTAAGCATGTTTAGTCACCTCGTTTTTATGCGCCTGCCCAAGTCAAAAACCTCTACCCTTTGGTAGTCTTGTTTCTTGTTTCAGAATGGGAAGTCCTTTCTAAAATAGCAAAATCAAAAGCACAAACTCTGCAAACGATTGGAAAACAGCTGTCATATTCGTGACGTGGTACAGGCATTTCCTAATGTAGAAAATGGTGGGTTAATCCTGGTTTTATAGCTAGCTAAACCTCTCACTTGTATGCCAGTCGCATAGAATTCCATTATATTGACTGCAATGTGTGGCCAAAACAAACAGACATAATAGGTAAACATATCAAAAATTGGGATACAGCCGAAAACATTGTAACATAATCCTAATCACTACAAAAACAAATAACTACTTCAACAAAGACACATTTCTTTATGTCAGATTATTAAATTCGTTATTTATCCGAGAACACAGTTATTTCATAGTGCATTTCTTTTAGACAATACATACAAAAGCTGTATCTTAAAAAGGTTTCTACAGTGTAGTGTATTACTTTCGGGTAAACTGTAGCAAAACTATAGTAAAGTCTGCATATCTAATTCAAAATATGGACAATTCTATGAAAATGATATCTATAATTCGTTTTACAGCTTCAGAATACTTATATTTTTATCCCTTTTCTACTTGACCAACTTATCACTTTAACTAAAATTTCATGACTCATTTTTTTTTACCCGTAACTTTGTATTTACTATTTTATGCACAACATATCTAGAAATGAATTTGGAAGGTGTATGAATAACAATGTGCAAGTTATACACTATCCACATTAGGGACTTAAGGTGTAGACAAAGAAAATCAAAGGACGATAACTGTGTCCCTGGACCGCATAGGATGGAAAAACTGGACCAAACTTACAAAAACTTGGCTTGTCCGTGTCGTAGGGAATTATAAGACAGTTGAAAAAGCTTCATTGAAATATGCAATGTATTATAGGCAAAATTGTCAATTTAACTTTGAACGTTGTGTGTTTATTTTTGACGGTTAAATCGAACAATTTTAACTATCACGATTTGGACCTTAAATATTTAAATATTGCAACACTTTTTTTTTCAATGTCATTTTATATAACATATCGTGTATTAAAATCAACAGAACAGTCATTTGATATATCAGATTTATTACAATGATTCAGGATTTAGAAAAATCTATATTAGGCTGTGTTTGAAAATAATGATTTTTGAATGAATCGAGGCCTAATATGAACATGCAATTTTCTTTTCACCAGTGAATATTGTTTTGGAGTGGTTTTGTAATAAATGATTCTTTCAGACATAAAAATGTGCATGTACTTTGGTTAGAAAGAAAAGTTATACATATCATACCACATGCGTATTAAATGGTCTTAGGCCTTGTAAAACTGAAATTACTTTTTGTCAATTTAGGCCTTAACACATATATACATATGGAAATGCATACAGAAGATACAGGAAATAAATATTTGTTAAAAAGTAAAATCACTAAAATACTGAACTCCGAGGAAAATTCAATCGGAAAGTCTCTAATCACATGGCAAAATCAAATGACAAAACAAATCAAACGAATGGACAACAACTGTCATATTCCTGACTTGGTACAGGCATTTTCAAATGTAGAAAATGGTGGATTGAACCTGGTTTTATAGCGCTAAACCTCTCACTTGTACGACAGTCTTATCAAATTCCGTTATATTTACAACGATGCGTGAACAAAACAGACATTATAAATAAAATAGTCAAAATATGGGTACAGCAGTCATCACTGTGTTACAATATCAAAACAAACAACTATTTACAAAAAAGCACAAAAGCATCTATCAAATTAAAAACCACATTCATTGCTTCGCGTGTCTGACGTCAGAAAATGTAAACGTCACATAAGAAAAAAGTTTGTCATTCAATGTCTGTTCAAAACAATTTTATAATTTCACATGGGGAATGTTGGTATACAGGGTTAAAAAATCAAAAGTTATGTTAGAATTAATTTCAGAAATAGACCGAGATTTAAAATTGTCCAGAAGTTCTTCAGAACCCTTAAGAATCCACATATGGTAAATACCACTACGCGAGTAAAATAAATTTGTCGTTTGTCGTTCAAAGTATTTTCAAATTTATTATAGAACAATAACATAATGACATATAATAGAACAATAACATAACACATGAACGTTATAAGAACCACAGAAACACAAAAAGTCGCGTATACAAAACACACCAGTAAAAATGAAAGATAATACAAACACATTGACGGGATGTATAAGAACCTAGCCACGTCAAATGGATATCACAGAAAACAAACCAAACAGTAAAAGTAATATTAATAATAGAACAAAGACAAATGAAAGAACAATATGACACGTTGTTAAGATGATAAACAACGTCAGTATGCAGAATCTATACTTCAAGACCATCATGTATTATTTGTGAAGTTGATACGGAATATTTATCAACAAGGTCTTGGTACCTTCCGATGAACTTTTTTAGAAAAAGGACGAGACGTTCTTTGACATACCCCTGGTTCATCAAATTTCTGCTCAGACACTGGTTACGTTTTACAAAGTCTGAGTAGGAGCTGCAAGCTCTTGAATATCGAATAAGTTGGGAAATGTATATCCCATATGCAGGTGAAGTTGGTAAATTGCTACTAAGGTGGGGGAAATTTATAATTTTAAAATTAAAATCGTCTCGTTTGTCATATATTCTGGTACTGAGATGACTGTGTATGTCAAATTCGAGATATAAGTCTAAAAATGAGGCGGAGGAAGCCGTGTCTGTTGTTTCTTTCATTTCTAGTTCTGGGGGATATATTAATGGAACCCAATCAGAAAAGTTCGGATTGTTAATGGAAAGAACATCATCAATATATCTAAAAGTGAAATTATATAATCTGGCTTCTTTACTTTGTTCTATTTTCTGTGATAATATACTTTCCTCTAGATTTAGAGTTAACAAATAGTTCAGAAAACTTGAAATAAGTATAGAAACACAAATTTTAAACCTGCTGGATAGAACATCAGCATGTCACTAAGGCATTAAAATGGAAACAGCTGCACAATGCTTATTTTGCCAATAAAATGCGAAAATGGGATAATTATACCGAATTTCTCAATGAAAATAAAGAATGAAATCCGGATCTTTTACATAATTCCTCTCTCATGCTCGAGAGCACAATTATTTCGTAATGCATTTTTTGTTGTTGTAGAAAATAAATACAAATTTAAAAAATCGCACCTTCTCTATCTCAAAAATATTTTATAGCATGGAGTACTTCTTTCGGGTCAAATTTTATCAAAATTACAAAAATATATACCCGTTCTATCTGTAATGATTTAAACTCTTCGTTAGAAATTTGAATGACATAATCAATATAGCTGTTAATCAAGCTGTTTTAGAGAAAATTTAAATACCATGCATAGAAATGTTTTTAGTTAATTAACCAACGTGACAGCTTTCTATTGCCCTACTGGTTGCATTTTGAAAATACAACTGTTTCACAAACCACGCCTCTCTTGATGAGATATATAATACTCATAGATATTTTGTTTTGTCTAACGACTGATTCCTTGATATGATCACTATATTTCATCTGATAGACACAACTTGTGAATGTTACCAGTATAAACACGCATAGATAGCGACCAAATTGAATTCTGAAGAAGACCCAAAGTGAAGGGAGGGGTAGTACAGGATTTTAGAATAAGTTTAAACTCTTAAATTTCGAGTCATATACATGTTAAAAATATGCTGCAGAGCCGTGGCTTGTATAAACATCGGTGAATAACTTTTGCCTATAGTCAAAGTTATTAATTGACTGGCGTCATAGCCATACAAAGTTTATATGATATTTATCAAAACGATTTCCTTAGTGTAAAACATATTGAACATAAACATTCATTTGTTTCAGATATTTGCAAAACAATCAATTAACTACAATACAACAAGGAGCATTTTCAGACCTACCAGCAGTAAAAGATCTGTATGTATACAATGTTACAATATTTTATAAAATAGCAAATGAAAACAAAATCTAAAGACAATCAGTAGCAGAGTATGTTTAGAACTATCAATCGTTATGACCTTCTGGTGTTCTGCCTTTGAATGGAGTAACTATTGGTGACCCGTTTTATTTAATATTCAAATGTTGATTGCCCCCATGGATCCCCGTTCCCTAACAATGTAAATTGTTAGAAATTTGTATCATGTTTGATTCTGATATATAGACGATGGCTAAGTAGCAGGGGTTCGAACCCCACTGAGGAAAGAACCAAAATTTGCCGACGCTAATTTGCAGATCTAGCATCGCGGGGATACATTTGAGAAGTAGCATATGTAAATAATGGTGTTAGCCCTGTATAACCACAAGATATCCGATGGCGAACGTCTGTCTTAAAGTTGTCACATTTTAGACGTTCACAATAAAATTAAAATTTGATGTGACGGCATGGTAAGTAAAATTATCATACTTTACGATTGAAAAAAAAACAACAGCTGATCTGCAAGTTATACCATCTACTTGACACTATACATCAAATACTGTGTTACAACTCTGGATAACGCCGACGAGGAAAGGCATTACGCAACAAACAAAAGCCATATTTTATATAGCCTAGTTGGTCGAGTGGTCTTGGGCGCTGGACATAATGCAGGCGGTGAAAGTAGGTTCAGATTCAGGAGTTCGAATCCCGCTGAGGATAGAACAAAAATTTTCTATCGCCAAATTGCAGATCTCACATTGTAGGGCTAAATGTGAGATTAAATATACTTGTCAACAAAAGAAACGATACACAAGTTTGAACTAAAATTTATCATAAATATAATAAATAGGAAAATCTTTTAAATTCATGCAAATGCATATGATTAAATGAATATGACCAAATTAGAAAGTTACAAAATACCGAGTAATTGAACACAGGGGTCACATTTATTTTGCAGAAAATGATCACAAAAGTCGGCACTTAATTTCGAGGATGATAATTAAATATTCAAATATCTGCAAAGGCATTCAAAATTTTAAGCAGACCATGTTTAAGTTTAAAAGTTTAAAGTGCTAACACCGATTTTTGAAATAACTAAACTTTCAAAATTGGTTTTTCGCGTATTTGCCTTAAATCAATGGTTTTGATGAGAAAATAACACTCTGTAAAATTTAGACCAATAGGGCAATTATTTACCTCGGTACAGTGTATCCAGTTTCATGATATATGGAATATACATTGCCTTGTATCGTTTCTTTTGTTGACTAGTATATATGTAATTTATGGTGTTAGCCCAATATACATGTAACCACAGGTTATCTGATGGAGTACGTCTGTCGTAAAGTTGTCACATGTTTAGACGTATATATATATATATATATATTAAACAACAAAAAAATTCAATGCCACTTGGTTGAAAATTTGTAAACTACTGTTGCCTATACAGAAAGATGTTGATCGACCTGTGTCTAAATCCCTATATGATATTATCAAAATTTTATGAATCGACATCTATCTATGGTGAAAAAAATATTCAAAGTAAAAGAGAGGCGAAGGATATCAACGGGATATTCATACTCATAAGTCGAAAATAAATTAGCTAACATGAACATTGGAAAAGAACACTAATTATTGAGACAAATTTAGTTTTTTGGTAACAGCAGTTAACTTAACGCATTTAAGAAAGAAGACTTCAATTCTCCACCTTTAAATAAAAACTATCAATCGCAGTTTTCAACTACCAGTATGTAATTAATAACAATTGCCACTCTATATAACGTTGCAATCATAATGTGGCATTTTCAGATAAAAAAAACTGTTGGCAAGACTTTCTATTTTGTAAAAGAACATTTCGTTTACTTTGAAAATATTTATTACATGGTCTATGACGCCTTTAACTGATAAATTGGCAAACATAAATGTGTGTATGTATGAGAAATATTTTAGTATGTCATCTCTTGGTTGAGGTACTATTCGTTTCCTGAGCGATAAAAGGTCGAAACTTGGTAGAGACTTGTTTAAGCCTCAGTTATTACGCAGTGATGTTAAGGCAATTTCGCGGATTTTTTGTCAGGGGTAGGTAACTCCGCAATTACCTCATTATATATTCATCAGATCTCATAAACATGTTTAACCCCGCCGCATTTTGGCGCCTGTCCCAAGTCAGGAGCCTCTAGCCTTTGTTAGTCTTGTATTATTTTTAATTTTAGTTTCTTGTGTACAATTTGGGGTTTAGTATGGCGTTCATTATCACTGAACTAGTATACATATTTGTTTAGGGGCCAGCTGAAGGACGCCTCCGGGTGCGGGAATTTCTCGCTGCATTGAAGACCTGTTGGTGACCTTCTGCTGTTGTCTGTTCTATGGTCGGGTTGTTGTCTCTTTGACACATTCCCCATTTCCATTCTCAATTTTATCAATGGCGGATTCCGTAAGCAGCGTCCATCGATAAAATTGTTAAATAAAAATTACATGCGTGCATGAGGATAAAGAAAATGATACTGGTATGGTGTTATTTGATTATTGAAACACGATTACGGCATTTTTGTGATGAAACTATATTATAAATGGTTGCAAAAGATGTTTTTATTGCCGGGATCAGACCCCGCCTACTTCCGAGAAGCAACCAATCAGAAGCCGATATCCGTCATTAGATGCTTGAAGTTTGCAGAATGGAAAGCACCTTGCTGGAGCAATTATGTTCACTAATGTGTGAAAATATACCGACAAAAGTAAGTGAAAGCTACAAAATATGTAAGCATTAAGGAATATAAGTTATTTACTTTGTATTTCATTCATTTAAGTAGATGAAAATAGGTGGAGAATTAGAAAAAAACGAGTTTAGCTTTGGCAAACATGCTACACGTGGTCAGATCGAAATTATACTTGGGGAAAAATATATAAAATGGATATAGTTGACTCCCTTTTCTAAATTATTAGAGTAGCGAATAAATCAAATGTGTATACTAGTGTTTCTACCACTTGCATTACCGATTGCCAAGACACCATTCACAGCTTGCATCGTGAAAATTGTTCATTTTTATTTTATATTTTTTTTGTTTGTGTGCATCCCTCATGGACCTTGTCCATGTTCAGATAATCATGTCTGGATATTTTTATGATCCAGTAACTAAAAATAAATCACCCTAACAAGATATTATAGATTGGAATGAAAAAAGCCTTTCAAAAGTCATAATCAATTGGACTTGAGGAGGATTAACCCCCCCCTTGAACATTTTCAACCCTGCCTAGACAAAACCCTGCCTTATTCTGTATGTGCGTCTCTGAAGTCAGAAGCTGATTGTTGTTGCCAATATCATATTTGTTCTTTTAGTGTCATGTTCACAAATTAGGCTGTCAGTTTTCTTGTTTGCATTATTTTATGTTTTGTTTTGTCTGGTCCTTGATTATAATAGCTTGCTATGAGTTATGGGTTTTGTTCATTGTTGAAGGACTTAATAAGACCAATAATTGCTTATATCTACTTCAATTAGTCTCTGATGGATAGGCCAGTCTCATTGGCAATCTGGCATGTAACATATTATCCTTATTTTATTTCCATGTGTGTACACATACCTGCAAGGTGAATATTTAGTGCCTTCAAGATCCACAGTGAAATAGGTAAGTTGACAGTTGATCCCAGAGCATGCAAAAATGAATAAAGTTTAACACACAACATTTGTTATGTGCCTGTTTAAACCTGGGAGTCTGTAATTCAGTGTTGTCCTAATATTACAAACTAACTTGGTTGAATATTGTAAGTGAAAATATATTGAATTAATTCCATTTGCTTAACTTGCCTGTGTAAAAAACTTGTATACATCTGAAAAGTGTCTTTTGTATCTAATTATAATTGAGCATTGAACTCTACTATTCAAAATATTACTAAATTTTTAATTGAAGAAAACACAAAAACAATTAAATTAAATATACATTGTACTAGAAAAGTAGGACATAATATTGTCAAAAAAATCAGATCCTCATTAGGGCAGTCGCATTGTGACCATGCATTCTAACTTTTGCAGAGTTCTCGAAAAGTGGTGGTCCCAAGGTTTTGACCACCAAAATTTCAGTATTTTGCAATAGAAATTATAGTGAAAACCAGAATATTTCCCTCAAGGACCACCAGGGGAAAAAAGATTTTAAGAACTCTACTTTTGTTCAGTCCTCTTTCCTTAGGCCAAATAAAAATATGTGTGGTTCCAGTTACCCTTCTTACCCTATTTTTTAGTTTTAATAATAGCCTACCCTTAATATTTTATTTTGCAATTTTCATTAAGCACTGATAAAGTCAGAATGTTGCTCCCATAGACTCTAAAACAATGTAAAAAAACGCCATAAAATAAAAAAAAAATCACTACCTACCAACCTACACTTACTTTTTTAGATTTAACTGGAACCACACATACTATTCTATTTGGCCTTATTTGATACATACAAAATTTAGCATCCGTAGTAGCATATGGTACAAAAAGGCGAAAAAAGGGGAGGGTTATGTGCATGTTAAACTGAGGGGTCCAATCCCGACATCCCAAGCTTATTTTTGCCTAATCCCGAATTCCAGGGCCTTATTTGACAATTGGCAAAATACATTAATTAATGATTGTATACTGTTCAAAGTAATCAGTCAGTCTGTTGAGCAGATTCCCTGCATCTTTTTAATATAATCTAGTCAGCTTAGTATAAAACAGATTATATATACATGGAGAATGCGACATTCCAAAACTTAAAAGACACATAAATAAGTTGGCTTGTTTGGGCTCAATAAAAGAAGGTACGAAATTTCCGTCAATTACTTGGAGTATAATAGTACATTGTATACGTTATCACTCTCCTTTACTCTGCAACTTTTGAGTGTGCTAGTCCGAAGCCAGGATACAGTGTCAAGTAGTTGCTTGTGCGTATACAATGAATTCGATATTGTTTTTTCGGGTAATTCTTTATTTGGGTCTTCCCATTTAATTTTGTTGGACATCTTTTTTAAAAATTCAATATGAGCCCT